AAGCTGGCCTATTTTTTATGAGATATAACAAGACAAAAAGGAGGCCAAGGCATGTCAGAGCTTTCATCCTTAATATGCTTTGTTCTACGTACTGCTGCTGTTGGAGTGGAGAGGCTGTTTGGCCTGTAAAGCTCAGTCAACAAATAATGCTTTTCTCTATCAGGCCCTAAATCAGATAGAAATCATGTGAGCTACAGAAATAGACTTGGTTTTGAAGGCAGGATGCAGAAACCAAAGAACTCATTGAGAGAGGCTTAGGAGGCAGTGGTTTACAAATAACCCCAGAACGAGGTGGTACTAGCACAGGCAGGAGCCTCAGGGGTTTTATTTAAAGATTGTCACATGCTTGACAGGCATCTGGGCAAGTGTTTGCTATAAACTAGGGGTAAGCAGACAGTGAAAGAGGAGGGAGGATGTGGAATCCCGCTTATAGGGAACTGTTGCTTATTAGTTCAAGAGCAATACTTTGGTTGGTTGTAAGTTTAGATCACAGAATGATAGTATCATAGGAATTGGAAGGGAGACGTAAATGCCATCTAGTCCAACTCCCTTGCAATGGGCAGGAAAACCTACAGCTCGATCAGGGTGCTCAGAGCACTGACCAGCCTGACCATCTGTGTCTTCAGGAACGGGGCACGCACCACAACATTGGGCAACCTGTGCCTGTGCCTCACCACCTTCATTGTAAAAAAGCTTATATGTGATCTAAATATCCCATCTTTTTGTTAGAAACCACTTCCCTTTGTCCTGTCACACGGGACCCTGCTACAGAGTTTGTCCCTTCTTGCTTATAGCTCCCCTGCAGATATTGAAAGGCTGCTCTCCAGTCTCCCCGGAGCCTTCTCTTCTCCAGGCTGAACAGCCCCAGCTCTTTCAGCCTGTCCTTGTACAGCAGTTGTTCCATCCCTTGGACCATTTTTGTAGCCCTCCTCTGGATGTGCTCCAGCAGGTCCATGTCTCTCCTGTACTGAGGTCTCCACATGTGAATTCACTACTCCAGGTGAGGCCTCACCAGCACAGAGTAAAGAAGCAGAATCACCACCCCTGACCTGCTGGCCACATTTCTTGTGATGCAGCCCAGGATATAGTAGTAATTTTGCTGTTTATAGAGTTCAAAACTTGTGCTGGATTTTAGTGCTGCCACCATGTTTCTGACTGAAAACAATTTTCACATTGATACTAGTTCAGTTGCTGGGAAGGGTTTGTTTGAGCTACATTGTTTATTTTGTAGTAAAACTACAATATTGGAATTACCTTTATATCTGAGTATATTTATAATTACTCAGTACCACTTAACTAGTGACAGTATCAAAGAAAATAACTTGGGAAAACTGAACATTGCAGCAGAGTTGTATCTTTAGGTTTCAGTATAAATGGGTAATGGAATTTGTATACTGTTTGAAGTTGCAGAATGTTTTTTGCAGGAAATCGTGGTGGCAGTTGTCTCTTGAAGTGTAAAGCGTGGTTTCTGAGAGAAGAGATTAAAGGAAAAGCCTTCTCAAGATCTGGCATTGCGCACTGAATCTTAGAGGGGTCAAAGCGTTTCTGACATTTCCATTGTCATCTTTTGATAATTTGAACGTGTTGTGCAGTTTTCCCATGGGCGGCACATGATTCTGAGTTCTTAATCCTGCTCCCATATTTGGCTTCAAGCAATGTACAGGCTGTAAAAATTCGAGTTGTGAAAGCCTCATTATTTTTCGGCTTTTAACTCTCAGTATGAATGTGTTTTGTTTTCGAGAAGTTTTGAGTGATTTTGATTAAACCTCTCACCTCCAGAATACAGAATCTCCTTGCATGCAGAAGTCGTATGTAAGTCACTTTGAAGTATTGTAGTGATTTTCTCATAATTTTTCATGGCTTCCAAAAAATACAGGGAATGAATGGCTGGAGGAAACATTTCATATCTGCATCAGCATAGAACAGCATTTCATTGCACTTATTGTCATGGAAAGGGTTGCAACAATTTCCTCAAATAACTTCAGTTGAGTTTCCCGTAAAGGTCAGAAGTGTAAAAAAAAATCTTGAAACTTTCATGTAGTGAAAATGGCAGAAGTTCTTGAACTTTGTTTCAGAAAGTACTTGATAACAAATATTGACTGTAACCCTTGTGGCTGACATGATTCAAGAATTTACTGTAAATTAAAAGGAAACCTTCTGATAGATGAGCATGAACTTCAGCATGCCAGGCACACAGATAAGACTTTTTCCTCAAAAGGTAATGGATGATGAAATTCTGAAACCAAAGCTAAATCTTACAAAGATGATGAAAAGTTACAGGTGGGCCCAAGACTTTTCTCCTTGACAGCTATTATGTTCCCATTTTGTTTCTCTCCTCAGCTTGACAAGGCATGAAGACTGCTCTGGCAATGAGTAACAGTTTTTGAAAATGCTTAGGAAAAGAGGAACGTTCTTAATGTCTAGATTTCCTAGGTTGAAATAGTCATTTAAAAGAGTAGAGATATACAGGTATTATGTTGTATTTTGTTACCTGGTAGAGTTTTATCACAGTTAATACCGTAGTATTCTAAAGCTCACAAGCTTATTGAGATTGTCTTCAAAATGTTCTGTGATTTATAATGATTTGGAATACAATTAAAAAAGATCTTTCTTATTAGAAAGAACTGTTTATCATGTTGGAATCACTCTAAAACCCACATACACAGGAGATGGAGACTGAATCTGTGGAGACTGCTTGTGGCATCGGAGAATCTAATTTAAATTTAGTGGTTGAAATGTGAGGTTGCTTACTTCAGGAGTTCCCAAGGAATAGCCTCTGGAAAATGATCTAATAATCTGCAATTATCTTTGCTTGGGCTAGGAAGAATGCAGCATTTTGACTCATTAAGTTTATACTGGCCACTGACCATGAAAGGGTACCAAAGAAGAGGTTTTGAGATACTGTACCTGTCTGTGGGCAGGCCATGCAGGGCTCTCCATGGATATTTGTGTGGTGAACAGAGTTCTGGAAAGGGCTTTCAAGGTCACTGAGTTTGGTCTGACTTGTTACAAGATGTTCTTGCTATGTGACTTGGAGGAGATTTCAGCGTGATGTGGATGTCCTGCAGTACCTGTCCAGTCCCCACTGGCCTACTTACGAACATATTGGCCCATGGGGGGGGGGGAGTTGTAGCTAGTCAGACAGCAGCTGTATATGCTGTAATCAAAATACCACCAAGAAACAGTGCAAAAGTCCTAGTCAGAATAGAGTAGGATAGTTAAGTTGGAAGGGAACTGCCTGACCATGTCAGGGCTAACCAAAAGTTAAAGCGTGTTATTGAGTACATTGTCCAAATGGCTCTTGAACACTGATGGGCTTAAAGCATCAACTACCTTACAGGGAAGCCTATTCTAGTGTCTAAGCACCCTCGTGGTAAGAAAGTGTTTCCTAATGGCTGATATGCTGGAAACCTGAAGGAGACCCAGCATGCTGTGTGGAATGATAGAGGTTGCTGCTGTACTGTGATGTAGAGGAAGGCAGCAAATGAGAGTTGAAAGACAGCTTTCAGGGTAGAAGTTTTTATTTTACTGAGGGAAGAGTCTGTCCAAAGCCACCACCTGTCTCCAATGTCTGTTCAATGTAGAGGATCTCATCAAATTTGCAAATTACACCAAATGGAGAGGGTCAGTTGACATGCTTGAAGTCAGAACTGCTGTCCAGAGGGATCCATACAGGACCCTTAAGAATCCCGGAAAGGGCAAACGCTAGCTCCTGCCCCTGGAAAATAGGAATCTCTGGTGGAGATACAGACTGGGGCCTTACAGGTTTGAGAGTAGCTCAGCTGAAAAGGGCCTGTGGATCTTGCTGAACAGGAGCCAGTCTTGTGCCCTGGCATCAAACATTGCCAGCAGTTTCCTGGGCTGCATAACCACAGCCTGCAGATTGAGAGAATTGGTATTTTCCTTTACCTGGCACGTTATCTACATCCAGAGTACAGCAACCACTTTTGATTCCATCAGTACAGAAAAAATATCAGTAGACTGGAGCAAGTTCTGCTGGGCATTATCCAGAGAGCAGACAGAAATAGAAGAGCAAGGTTCAAGCTGGGTATAGAGAACATGTTCTTCACAATCAATCAAGCAGTGGAGCAGGTTGCTTGTGCAATTGTACAGTTTCTGTCTTTGAAGACTTTTTAAGACCTAACTGACCACTGCTCACAGCCTGGTCTGACCCAAGATGGCTGCTTGGAGCTGGAGGATGGAGGATGGAGCAGAGAACAACACAAGGGTTCTCTCCTCCTGATGTAGGGCAAAGTTTGGAGCCAAAGCCTAAATTTTTTCGTGATTTTTTTTTTTTTTTTTTTTTAGTAGATGGTGGTTGATAGACAAATGGCCTAGCCTCTTTGGTGTGACAGTTCCCTGTCCACAGGTTTACTTTCATGAAACTTTGCTCCACCACATGTTTTCTGTGTGCTGCCAAAGAGGATGATCACCTTAAAAGGCTGTCAGTTGCAAAATGTGCTAGGGTTAGCAACAGCTCTGACAGCAGCTCTATATGCTTCTGCCAATTATGGAAACATTTGTCATATTTTCCTATTTAATATTTTTCTTCCTGCTATGGTTGTTGTTTCTGTGGGCTTCTTGACATAGGGGAAGCAGATTTAGCTGTCTGTGCAGAAGGAACACTGAACCACGTTCTGCCCCATGTGTCAAATGTACAGCTAATGGATGGATAAACAGAATTTTTTTTCACTAGTTAGCTTTGGTAATCTTTAGTAATAGAACTGAAAAGCTGTCCTACAGTTTTCATGCCTAAATAAGGGATTAGCCCCTTTTAAGGAAAAAAAAATAGTATCGGTTGGAAGAGTTACTAAAAATGACTTTCATTTTGTGGCATTTCAACTTGTATAGATTCTTTGGGGAAGGATAAGAATAAATGGGTGTACACATAGGAGTTATAAGAAATCATGGGAGCTTAAGATTTAGAATATTCTGTAACACGTTTTTTTTTTTACTTTCTTCTTTTTGTTCTCCCTCTCCACCTGCCTTTCCTTATGCAGGAAATAAAGAAGGATATGAAGAAGGAAAATACTGCCAACAAACCACCAGAGAAGCCTATAAATGAAATTTGCAATGGAAGCTCTTTACTGTTGTCTGAGACAATTATTAGAACCAACAGAAAAGGTAAAGTACATGGAACCTTAAATGCAGAATTGCATTCAGACCTTTAAAAGAATGAAATGTAACCTTTCCTTGCTTATAGAACTAAAGCTAAAGTTTATTTAAGTGTAAAGGCATAGCAAGAGCATTAAAATTTTCTCATTCTCCGTAGAATGGCATACAGATGCATGTATTATGTCCAATATTTCCACATTAATTTTCAAAGGCATTCCGTTCTTCTTAACAGAAATCCCTCCTAGATACATTTAATTAAGGAAAGCTATATGAACAGATTACTAAAGCTTATTAAAGTAATGAACTGACAGCTTGCATATGTGAAGCTTTTTGCATAGTTATGTCATTCAGGTTATGTCACATTCAGGTATTCGTGTTTTATCTGGGACAGAGAATGTTAAAAGAAAAAAAAAAAAGAAAACGTGGAAAATGGAAAGCTTAACACATTAGTTTCCTGGGAATTGTCCACCACTGTTTTGTATTTCAGATTGCACTGTGTGCTCTTTATGCCTGGCTTGAATCCCATGGCAGATTCCTATGTATGCTTTTGAATTGCTTAAGGGAAAGCCTCCAGATCTTCTGTCTCTTTCACTAGCTCCCACTTCCGCTCTCAGAATATCAACAAAACAAAAAGTTGGCGATATAACAGATAATGAGGTGGATTTTTCTTTAGGTTATATTTATGCATCAGTTTATTTGCAGGAAAACGGCTATCTACATGCAAGAGATGGCCTGTATTTTTCCCAGGACAGTTTCTTGCTTACTGTCTTATACAGGCTAATCTGCTGTCATTAATCATTGCCATAATGCAGTTTCCATTTTGGCGTGCCTTCTGTACTGTTAGGGCTATGCAGATGGAAATTTTCTCTTACATATGAGTGAAGATTGTATTGTATGAGCTGGCAGGTTGACTTGAGGTCTTAGACCTTAAGATTTGCAAGTGCAAGTGAGGAAGATTTAATAATTTCTGCAAAATACATGGCTTCCTTTACAATTAAGGAGGATTAATCTTTACCATTTTTGCTAGGAATAATATCCCCTTAAAAAAAAAAATTGGAAATAAATCTCAGAAAGCCTTGTCTTTTGTGTTTGCAATGCTATCCTGAATCTGAAGACACATCCAAAATTCCTGCTTTGGGTCGTAGTTTCTTCAAACAACAGAAGAATTAAATTAACAAGAATGATTCTTTTTTTGTGGCTGCTATACAGAACCATATGAGTGGTTGTGAAATTATCTAGGGATTAAGCCTGTTCCATATTGCTTCAGCTGCTATCTGGAGAAGGCTAATAGCTGTGGCAGATGCAGAGATTTGGTTCAGTCACAAGGGGATAACACTCCAAATCTGAAAAGAAGAATAAAGGCTTTCTCCTCCTCCTTCTTTCCTCTAACTCAGAAACACTGAAAGATTCAGAAGATAAAGGAGGTTCTCTTTTTCTGTTTTTGCCTGGAGAAGACAAACTTCATATTTGTTTATAGATAACCAAGGAAAGACACATTGAGATCTGTAGCTTGAGGAAAGGGTTAGATGTAGAAATTAGCAGATCTCATGTGAGGATATTACTGCACTGCATCTCATTAGTGGAGACTGCACTTTTCATAGTAGTGTTGAGGTTGACTTCTTCTCTATGGCTGTTTCCATTGCTGCCAAGCAGACAGTTACAGTGTGCCATCATCTACTCTAGCATCATGGCTAAGGATGCACCGAACATAACAAGACCAAAAGAATTTATCTTTTTTTCTGGGGTCAGTTTGAGCATGGTGCTACACCCAGCTTGTTCAAGTGAGTACAGATGCACAAGTAGCTATTGTTGTGTCCAGTAATCAAGAGTTTTCTAAGAACTATAAGGCATATCTCTTTGTTGAGAGAGTTGTAATACATTGCTGAAGAGGGAGTCCTAAAGGCCGCAGGGATTCTTTTCTTCAAATGTCTGTGTACTGTGCTTTTTATTAAGCCCTATCTCAATCTGTTTATTGATCACAGAATCTGAACTGAGCTGACCTGAAAAAGAGATGGGATTTTTTTTTTGGTTGTTGTTATTAGGAAGTGAAGAAGGGACAAATGTATCTGCTGCAGTCCTTTGGATCAAAATAGTGGCAGGAAATGCAGTCACTTGATCATCACAGAGCTCAGGAAATGGAGGAGAAAATAGAGGAAGGAGTTTTCTTTCTTTTGGAAGACTGGAAGGGTTAAGGAGCTCTGTGTAGTTGTTAGTCCATGCAGGTGTGCAGGAGACACAATGGAGCAGGTGATATCAAGAGATAATTGGCCTCTGGAGAAGGGATGGTCACAACATGAGTGTAGAGCATCTGTGCAGGTCCAATCAAAGTCTTCCTACTAACTTGTGCTGTCCCAGAAATAGAAAATCCAGCAGGTCTGCTCTCAGAGAATTTGTGGAATTACCTCCAAGGACAGAGATGTTCAGGAAACACAGAGATGTGGCACTGAGTGACATGGCTCAGTAGACATGGTGGAGATGATTTGAGGATTGGGCTAAATGATCTTAGTGATCTCTTCCAACTTTACTGGTTCTATGATCTAAATATCTGTAGCTGCTGTTCAGCAGTGAAAATAGCAGTCAGTCTGATTTATTTGCTTGGGCAATGTAATTTTGCTGTTTGGAACTTCAGAGAAGATCTGGTAGTGGTAGGAATGAAGTATCACATCAGTGTCAGACACATCAGTATCTGCTACCAAGATGATGAGAAGTGCTTTTGTATGACTGTGGTGTTACATTGCATAGTTTTGCTGTTTAAGTTGTTTGGCCTTAAATAAGTGGCAGCACTTCAGCAGGCATTTAGAGCAGAAGAATCTTGGCCTCTTGGGCTGTTGGCTTGTGGAGAGTTTTTCCTTGAGAAATATTGACAAGTGTCCAGCAGTGGTATTCAAGGAAAACAGCTAAATTATTTGTAAGAAACATCTGAGTAGCTAGAGGAAAAGAGTGGATTTCTGAATAAAAATGATATTATGAATCCAGCTTTGTATCTTGTTTCTTGACGTTAGTTATTGCTAAGCACTGCATCAGGGATTCTTATGATAAAATCAGTATAAAGTCGAAGCGCTTGTTTTAAAGGCTCGTGTCATCAAATAAGTCATGGACTTTGCTTCTGTGGGTTACCGATGTAGACTAGGAAAAAAATCAAGTTGGCTTAATGCCAGGAGTAGTAGTCATCTGTGTTAGTACTTCTATTACATACTGAGGGTGGCAGCTGGTTGTGGTATTGTTAATGATTGGTCACCAGCTATCAGTTACTCAGCTTTTTGTTAAAGATGGAGATAAGATGGAAGGATTTGATTTTGTCTGCTTTTCACTGAGAAAAGTAAAAACAGAACATTTCTCATTGTTTAATGTTTCTCAGTGACAGCATATACTATTGACCTAACAGAATTGTACAATAGAAATGACTGCTGTGATCATCAATACAGCTAATGTGTATTGATGTTTTTCTTTTTTTCAGATAGGCAATTTTATTTTCTGATTAATTCATAGAATCACAGAATGGGTTGAAAAGGACCACAATGATCATCTAGTTTCAACCTCCCTGCTATGTGCAGGGTCACCAACCACCAGACCAGGCTGCCCAGAGCCACATCCAGCCTGGCCTTGAATGCCTCCAGGGATGGGGCATCCACAGCCTCCTTGGGCAACCTGTTCCAGTGCATCACCACCCTCTGAGTGAAAAAATTCCTCCTCATATCTAACCTAAGCCTCCCCTGTCTCAGTTTAAAACCATTCCCCCTTGTCCTATCAGTATCCACCCTTTTAAACAGTCATACCCCCTCCTGTTTGTAGCTCCCTTCAAGTACTTGAAGGCTGCAGTGAGGTCTCCCCAGAGCCTTCTCTTTTCCAAGCTAAACAATCCCAGTTCCCTTAACCTTTCCTTTTTTTCCCTTTTTTAATTGCAACAGCGTATCTAAAATTACTCATGACTTCCAGATATTTCAGGTATCTCTTCTTCAGGCTAACTTTTTGCAATACCTGAGTAATACGTGCCTTGGTTATGTTGCAGTCTGATATGATCATGTATGGTGGTGATAATCATTAACATCTGGAAAACAGAACATCTTAATATAGCATTCCAATGTGTTTGTACTCGATCTCTGAAAAGCTCAAAAAAGAACTATTTGAGATGTCCTTTTGCTTCCTCTGACAACTCTAGGCTAGTTTTAATGGTTACTTCAGGTGCTGTTCTATCAATCCCCATCTATGGAAAAAGGCCGTGGCACTGAATGACTTGTCTGAAACTGCCTGAATGTCAGCTGTGCTTTTCTTACATATGCTATGCCAGAATCTGTGAAGGATCACTCATTTGCTTCTTCCTGAAGTTCATATAACTGGTGTGGGTCTTTTATTGTATCCTTTCACTGCTCCATAATTTTTTCATACAGAACTATTGCTCTTAATCTTCTGTAAAATTGAATTTAAAAAAAAAAAAAGTTTATATCCTTGGATTTAGTTAGAATTGACATTTTTGTACCCTGCTAATAACAGATTAGGAAAGCTTTTTGTTTTCCCTGAGAGCAGTTTTGGATTGGTGAAGGAAAACATAAGTACCATTATTGCTATTGTTACTGTTATTCAATATCATAAGAATATTAGTCAGATCTTGGAGCAGGAAAACACTGGAAGATATCTCTTCTCTTTAATTCTTTTTCCATCATGATGAAATTCCATCTTTCCAAGTTAGCTTTTGAAATCCAAAAACAGATCCCAAGTTGTGCCATTTCAGATCTGCATAAATTCTGTAAGATCTTCATCCATCTATAAAAGCATGTAATGGAAGCTTGCATGTAATGAGCTTAACTGTTAAACAACTATGGGTTGTTTTATGGAAGTTTTGTTCCAATTTTTAAATATTCTCTGTGCGTGTACTGCGTTTTGTGTATCTGGGCATAATATATTTGGCCTATACATAGGTCATGTTGCAGAACTGGCACTGATAGGCAGTATTTTGTATGCAAACTAACAGCAATTGTTAAACAAGTAAAAATATTTAAGAAAAAGATACA